TAACCCAGCTTATTATGCATTTCGGTTACTGCTCTCTTGTACGTGTCGGTTACATTATGTCAGTTACAGCTAATGAAAGATTGACTGCAATTTCCTATCCCTAATTTGAGAAAATAGAATGATTCCATATTTTCTTGATTAATTGCTGAATGTCTATTTATAACAATACGTTAGTATAGGAGAAATGGAAAAATACCTATACACATTATTCTTATACATTTTTGCTAAAGCTTTTTCATGCTCGTTAGTCACCTTCTGTCAATAACAAATATCAGCAGTTTGTCTGCACATTATCCATTCCTGTCTGATGTTACGAAAAATGCATAAGTCTATATTTTCTCAATAATTTGCAATATGTCTATTTTCAAACATGTGTTACTATAAATAGAAATGGAAACTTATGCTTCTCATTCTGTTTTTCATATATGCCTTCTTTTACTTGTTGGTCACTGAATGCCAATATCAGTAAAAAACATATTGTCTGCAATTGCTCATCCAAAATGTGAGAAAAAAAGAAAAAAAAATTACATTTTCCCGATAATTTACAGTATGTCTATTTTTAAACTCATGTTACTATAAATAGAAATGGAAACTTCTGCTTCTCATTCTGTATTTGATATAAGGCTTTCTTTTACTTGTTGGTCATCATATGCTAATAGCAGTTAAAAACAGATAGTCAGCAATTATGCATCCAAAATTTTAGAAAAAAGTACAAAAAATGACATTTTTCCGATAGTTTACAGTATGTCTATTTTCAAACATGTGTTACTATAAATAGAAATGGAAACCTCTGCTTCTCATTCTGTATTTCGTATCTGCTTTCTTTTACTTGTTGGTCACCATATTCCAATAGCAGTTAAAAACATATAGTCTACAATTGTTCATCCAAAATGTGAGAAAAAAGTACAAAAGACATTTTTCCGATATTTTGCAGTTCGTCTATTTTTAAACATGTGTTACTATAAATAGAAATGGAAACCACTGCTTCTCATTTTGTATTTGATATGACTTTCTTTCACTTGTTGGTCACCATATGCCAATAGCAGTTAAAACAGATAGTCAGCAATTATTCATCCAAAATTTTAGAAAAAAGTACAAAAAACGAAATTTTCCCGATATTTCGCATTACGTCTATTTTCAAACATGTGTTACTATAAATAGAAATGGAAACCTCTGCTTATCATGCTGCATTCTATTGAATGTTCTTTTGTTCTTGTCAGTCACATAAGATCAGTTACATTTAATGACAGAAAGTCGGTAAAATTTCCCATCTCTTATTTTAGAATTTGTGGAAAATCAACATTAAACAGTTAATTTCATATGTGTCTATTTTTAGACATTTGTACTATTTATAGAGATGAGAGCCTGTCCTCAATAATTTGTGAGATATTATAAAATCCCTTGTTCTTATTGATGAAATATTGGAGAGATCCATATTTTTATTATTTATGATTCAGTGGAGCTTCAAAATGATGGAAAATTGACATTTTTCATCATTTTATGAGACATGTCTATATTTAAACATTTGAAGCTATAAATAGAAAACGGAAATCCCTGAAAATAATATGCATGGTAGTTATTGGTGTGAATGGTGTCCAGTGTCTGACATTAGCATATTGACTTTTACAGTATATTTCATAATTACCTAGCAATGGCATCTTAAACTCTGCCCAAATTTCATTTTTTGGTTTTTTCTGAAATATGTCTATTTTTAGATACATGTTACTAAAAATAGCATTGAGATCCCACTCCAATTTTTTCATGAGGGGACACTACTAATACTGACGTTTGATGACACATATATGATTTGAAAAATTTCCGTAGACAATTTTTTTTATTTAACCTTAAATTTCTCAAAAAATGCCAAATTTTCCATTTTTCACATTTTGAGAAACTATGCAATTTTGCAGAACCGTTTTCTAAGAGTGGGGTCAATTATGGAATAACAGGTTATATGCCCTGTATTCTTGAACAGTTGATGTTTTCTTATGATACAAAGATTTATATTTGAGTTCACTACATAAAAATGAAAATGCAATCATATTTCCTCAATTTTCATGTTTTTGTTTGGTCAAAAATGGCCGAAAATGGCCAAATTCAATGGATCCGTCTCCATGGCAACCGGGTGCACGTGGGAAACTTCTAACACCATATTTGCTGGTTTTGTACCAAGGTGCACCTGTGGTGCAAATTTCATCAAAATCGGAGATATGTCGTTTCCAAGATTTTTTGGTGCTTACAGAGAATGCATGTTAATACGCAACACTACAAGGTGAAACTTGCATCCGCATCAAAGCCTACTTTGCCGTATTTCACGGATAAATAATCGTAATTCATAATGTCAATGATGGAGAAGGATATAGAGATGACGAACAGTATTCAATCTCAGTCCATAAAACAATACAAAATTGAGCAGAGCAAACATGGACCCCCAAAACATCAGAGGTGGGATTAGTTCCCATGGAGAAGTGATTATCCCCTGCTGACCAGTCACACGCTCCGTGTCCTCGTTCTCATGATCAGGAAATAACGGAAAAAATCCGTGGTCAATTTAGTGTATTAATAATGGGCTAACAATTGGTATGAAAAACGTCTGTCAGCATATGACTTAATGGAGTACAGCAAGTGTTTTCTTCTTTTCACACATAAGATTTTGAATAAATTCTGCTTCATATGAATATAAAAATAAGTCTACTAATAACGAGGCGCAATTTGTCCCCATGGGAATCCCAATAGACTGTTAGAATACCTGGTCTCCAAAAACCACATTGATGTGGTCAATCAGAAACTCAAGCATCTTCTTGTCAACTTCAGAGTACCTATGTGTGCAATCAGAATCTGTTTTAACAAATTAATTTTGCAAATGACCAATGACAAGGTAAGTAAATTTAAGAGTTCCATTTTAATTTGTCTTGGGGAATTGTTGTGTATTAAGTTGAAAAGTCGTAAGTTTAAGCTGTTGATTTTTGTACGTTCTTGTGATTTCAAATTGTCCGATAGTTCTTTAGAATTTTTTAGTATCCACATCTGATTCTCACTACTTCTTGAATGTATAGTTGCACAGTACTCTTGAAATTTTTCCTTCACTACTGTAAATATCTTAGTGAGGAGTACAGAAAGAGGATTTGTTTAACATTTACTGAAACCTGCAATGTATCTTTGTTTTTAAGGATTCTTATGAAGTTTTGGAATCCAGTATACATAAGGTAGTTCAAATTCATTTTGGTTCTATGGAATATTGAAATATTCAAAACTGACAGGTGATTTTGAAGACTTTCTTCCTTTGTAAGGAAAGTATGAGCATAAGTAGGATTACTACTTGTAGAATTAAATCCAAGTTCTTCTAGTATACAATTTATATAATGAACCTTGCAAACGAAGATAATGTTTTATCTGCTTTGTCGGCAGGAACCAGTACGTAATGATCGTGTAATCTAACTCCTTTAATTTTTCACTTCTAGTTTACTGAACACAGAAGGATATATGGTTTTCATATTGCCCCTAAATCTTTTAATACGGGACTTTAACACGGATCTGATACATTTAATAAATTCTGACAAGCTGTCAATGTCTTCTTTTTCATATCCTGCCCCTTGTCTAGCGAGATTTTCCTCAGAATCCATAATATGTAGACTTATAGTGATATAATACATATTCTTTTGCCTTATAGTAATTATCAATATAAAACAGGAGTCATTTTTGTTTCAAATCTATTTAAAGAAATAAACACTGGCATACATGTACATTACGTATAAGTAACATTCAAACTTGATCATATTTGGAAAGCATTCTCTTACTAAAATTGTCATCCGCAATGATAGGTTTGTTATAATATTTTATAATTTAATTTCAGTTGTAGCGCGTCATTTGATTGGGTAAACGGTTTCATTCATTCCGTATAACATAACTTGCCTACGTCACAATGAGTTACGTCAAAAACGTATCACTACGCTTGACGTTACTTTTAAAATAATGCTCACTTTGAAGCCTTTTTCATAAAATAAAAGTGTTCCTCTTTTGGTAGATATGAACACTTGTTTTAGGGTTTTATATGATGTTGTCTGGTTACTGGATCATCTGCTTAGCTACAGGGATCGTGCTTCGCTTTTCCGCATGTGAGAGGTTTAAAGGACCGCGTTATCTGTCTCAGCCAAAGAGTGCAAATACACAAAAACGTGTTACAGTCTTATTTTACTGCATTTTGTGTTATGATACCTTTTTCTGGAGGAAATATTGTCTCATTGTCTACATCGAAATTAAATTATAAAGAATGAAGCTTATTTCAACTTATATTATCCGATATAACAAAACTTGGGGCAGTTTACGCTTATTTATAAACCGCTTCGCGGTTTTTAAAGCGTAAACTGCCCGTAGTTATGTTATATCGGATAACATAAGTTGACACAAGCTTCATTCCTTAACTAAAAACACAGTCATTTTTCCGTCCAACAGTCTTCAAGTAGTTAGACATTGGGAGTTTGCGCACGAGCGCTGCGTTGCTGGACGCCGCTCTAGTACTATGGGGAACACATATACGGATTTCATCCACCTGCCGATTCTGGACATTCCACGACGGGGTTTCTGTGTAGAAATATATGTAGTACTTAATATTCAAGGGGTGATCAAGACTTCGAGAACAATCCTATATTTACAAAACCACGATTCAGATTAGAATGATAATTTGACACACATATTGTCAATCAAATATTTTATAAATAGGACTTGAAAAGGAATGATTTTCTCTTTCATTGTGAAGTCACAATATGAAAATGAAGTCAATAAGTCGCTGACTCGTGAGAAAAAAATGCTTGTCACAGTCTTACTCGAGCAACGAATGGCTGTAAAATTAACGTACAACTTGGAAAATCCTTTAAAATATTTTATAATAATTTATAAACGGTTAAGGTATACAATAGACTTTTAAGACGGTTTTTTTTTTCTATTATCGTCTTAGATTTCTCTGGATCAAACCTTGGACTGGGCCTCTCCTCCAAAATGTTTCACTCTTTTGTTTTGTAAACTTTAAAATAGCCCCGAGGAATTCCTCTCGCCTTTGGAGGACGTCTGGTGGTTATTTCGATCATTTTTTGCATATGTGTTTGATAACCAAACATATGCTCAATTTCGTCTTGTTTAAGCAATTCAGGACGTAAATCTAAACAGGGAAATTTTGGTAGTTCTGGGCTTTGAAAATCTAGATTACTTGTTGGTTGATAATCTATAATGGCTGTGGCATCTTTGCTGCTAAGGATGTCCTTGGTATTCTGAATGATTTCTTTAAATTCCTTCTGAGCATTATTTCTCTTATCCTGGCTTTCCTCATATTTCTTCACTGCTTCTTCTTTTTGTTTTGATACCAGGTCTTTCAGATTATTGCTTGTTGAATAAACGGCTTTACAGATCTCATCCTTTCTATTTTCTATGATAGATAAGACTTCGTCAAATTTTCCAGTGATTGTAGATAAGGTGGCAATATTGTACTTTGAAATCATACTATTTTCCATGTGTTTTATGTCAGCTCTAATTTTCTGTTCCTTCTCTTGAAGAATATCATTCATTTTGATTACTGAGTGGTCTTTGTGGTCTTTGTTGGAATCTATTAGGCACGTTACACATATTGAAGTTTTACAGTGCTGACAGTACGCTTCGCAGTCTTTCTTCTCATGTAAAGGGCATGTTGGAAGAACAAATGAGGTTCTTTTTCTATAAGAGTATCCAACAATTTCATGTTTCCTCGATTCGTCAGCCATATGTTTTGGTATGCATGAGGAGCACAAGTTCACCCTACAAAGATTACAGTAATGCTTTACTGGATCGGAACATAACTGACAACAAATGATATCCTGTCCTTGGGCGGTAGCCATTTTGAATTCTTCAGAAAACCAACCCCCCTGGGTCGTACTCAAATCTTCTGGATCTAGGATGAGAATAAACAACATTTACCATTAATCATATACACCTTATGTTATCATAAAATGTTATTAATTTAGTGATTTATTTGATGTTTAAACCTTATGTATCTATCATTTATAGTTGACTGATTTTGTATCGTATTAAAAATAAAGCAATTATACAACTCACAAATAACTATAATAAATGTGCTAAAAAATATATATTTACAAAAGTATACATCAAACTCTATCGTGCATTAATATTTGATGAATACAGCTTCCGCAATTAATATGTAACATTGAACATTGATAAGAAGGTATTTCAAAGACTCAATCACATACTCACAATTATTTTCTGTCAATGCCTTATAAAAATCATCCGAAAATTTACTTTCGTTTTATAAGAGTGTCATGGAATTTCTGAATATTCAGTTTTGTATTCTTACGTCGTGAAGTAACAAGGAGATTTAAATTTTCAAAGCCTAAAACGGTGTATTCATTTTATTGACTGACTCTATTTAATAAAAAAAACTATTGTAAGCCATGTACACATCAGGTCCCTAATTATTTTTAAAAAATGTTTAAGCTCATGTCAATTTATTGATATACGTTTGCCCAAAAATGAATAAATCTTAAATCCCTATTTGAATTCAGCCAAAAAAAAAAAACAATATAATGAAATATTAGGCTAAATGCATGATAAATAAAGTATTATACGAACCTTTAATTTAAAGTTGTTGTAAAACCTGTTGAGAAATTCAGTTACTGAAAATATCAGTCTCGTAGCTGTACTTTTAAAATAGAAATTAGTTTAGATACCTTTTGACAGATTTGTCTTCCTCAAAAGTAATAAGAATTGGGCAAAATTTAAAATAATATTTGTTTGCATTTTCCGACTCGAGATGCTTGTTTGTATCAATTTGAATGTTGGATTTTCTTTTGCGAAAACGTTTTAGCATAGGTTTTTTTAATTTTCAATTTTTTTTCTAAAGTGCCTGAAACATTATTTTTTAAGTAAAGCCAGTCGGTCAGGAAACGGCAAATAAGAAACAATGAATGATCTTATTGTTTGATTCATCACCCTCAGAAATTTGCAATAAAAGTATTTTAATGAAAAAAATCCCTTTGTTTTGTACCAGCTTTATCTTAAACAGTAGTCTGCTAAAACTCCAGTATATTTAAAATCTAACGCTATTTTTGGAAAATTACTAAATTCGGATATTACTAAATTTGGATATAAATCTTATTATTCTAGGCATTACAATTACTGTAGACTGCTGAGTCTACAATACTGACTTTAAACATAAAGCTTGCCGAGATGGGGACTTCTGACAGTTTAAATACAGGTAGAGTTAAGCATGAGCGGGTTTTGTCGGTAATTTACCTTAAATATGAAGAAAAAGATTCTTCTAAATTGGTTATTCAAGGTATGTCTCTCTTGAATGAAGAAAGTACGGTATCAGTCGAAATCTGCCCTGTCCTCATATCCCGTGAAATATTTCTTAAAACAAGCCTCAACTGAACAATTTAAAAATCATTTTATTTTTTTTAATTACCTCAAACCACTGCTACAAGAGAGCTCTTTAAACGTAGGGAGTCTCGTAAGAAAATAAAGACATAACGTTATGACATCAACTTAATGTAATCCGATCTAATTAAACATTTTGATTTCGATATAGCGCCAAAAAATATTTTGAAGTGAAAAAGTTACAACTTTCTCTTCTGTTCCACTCGTAAGCTATTCTAAAATACATGTTTTTTTGTCAAAAAGAATAAATAAGCAATATTGTTTATAAATAAATTTTACTTTACTTAAAAATTGTTATTATAATCAATAAGTGTCCACCTTGAATGTGCAAGTCTGAAATACTGTATAGCTGTGCTTTGTAATGTTAATTTTGTTCCATGTCTTACCGTGGTAGGAGAGGCAGAGATTGACCAATCGAAATCTGACCAATTAAAATCTAACAAATGAAATTCTGACCATGCGGTGCCTTACTCTGACTTTTCTCCCATCTAAATCCTTGGAGGACGGACATTGTTTCAAAGTTTGTTATTTATTTTATCAAGATTTTGGTGAGTAAATCTATTTCATTATGTTTTCTATGAGTAAAACTTTAGTTGTCATTCTTGGAAACTCAACTGTGCGTCGTTTTCATAAATTCTTGAAATACGGTGACATTAGGTATTCTGCAAGCTTTGGTCTGGGAGAAACGCATTCCGTTCTGTACAGGGGTATGGGTGGAAGAAAGGTTCGTGATGCTATATCTAAGGATATGGAGAGCGTATTTGCTTTTGGTCCAGATGTAGTTATTCTAATGATTGGGGAGAACATTATTAATCACAGAACCGACGCTACCTGCGTTTTCAGACACATTTTCATGATTTTTCTGTTAAGGAGGCTGGAGGGTCAACAAATTGATATAATAAACCACCAGATTTAACTTATTTTTTTAGATATGGTATCTTTAGCTGTGAACTATCATTTGACAAAGAAAAAATTCAAAAATTTTAGTTTTAAAATTTGATCATTTTCTATATCTTTATATGGAGCTCTCCTTTTAAAGGAGATTGAAATAGTTTAAAAATGGCTGCCACCCCCGAGCCTCGTTAAATCTAACTGGTTATTACTGTAAATTTGGATTATCTCCCTTTACAAAATTGGTTTTATTTCTCATTTTGATATCTTGTGTCTGCTAAAAATAATGTCATTATTAATAATACTTTTGAGAATTTCAAACAAATTATTAAACGTCACAAAGGTGGCAACACAAGACAAACTGTTTAACAAATTTTTTACTCATTGATGGAGGATAACATAAGGTGTTATAGCTTTGAAAGGATTATGGAAAGAAATTAACCAGTTGATGGGTAACCGGGGTATCAAAATACTTATTGCATTGAAATAAAAAAAAATTTTATTCATGTATCTTATTCTTTTCATTTACTCTGGAATGCTGTTAAGCAAATTTGAATTAAAAAGGCACAATGAAGTGATAAAATTGTGAAATTATACAGACAGAAAGAAAGAAGTAATTAGACACCAGATGAATAGAAAACCTTACGTGCGCTTCAAACTCAATTGAGATAAAACTTAAACGCTATTATAAGACAGAGGCAATTCTTTGTTTTGATTATATGTTTAGTACACAGTCTGCTTGCTAGATGTCAAGAAAGTATCTTGAAAAAAATCAATACAAAGCTATCACAAAGTTGCTGTCAAAAGCGTATGTCTTGTTGAAATATAAGTACTATAAAGAACTGGGTACGGTATATATAACTAGACGGCTCTGTCTCTAAGTTGGATTGAAGTTTTTTTACAAACATGCCCACAATGTGTCCTTTCAGAATCATTATATATTTTGAATTATCTCATACCTTTTTCTCCGCCAGAAGTTTGGAAAAATGGTGAATTTCCTGCAATAAATACAACATTTGACCTTACAACGTCGTCACGACGTTACTGATTTTAACGTAAAGTTAAAATTTTCTTAACGGAAAACTATTTACCCCAGTGCTTAATCCTGCCAATGTTACAGTAAACCATTTCTTTTAAATCCATGCTATATATCTTTAATAGTTTGAAATAGTTTAAAAAATTAAAAATCAGAAATATATATAGTTTTAACAAACGATTGTACCAGACAAGCTACGAAAATTGATTCATCCAGATGAAATGAGTGTATAAATTTAACGTATTGTTTATGAAGCTACATTTTGGGGGGCAATAACAAAGCTATCAACAGAACTTCCTCCTTTCCATTCCAACAAATGACGGTGCTCTAAATGTTAGGTCTTTTTTATAAACATATAAATTACTCCCTATTTCGGGGTTATTATGATATGCCTTTTTTCATTTTTCGTGAGAAGAAGGAGGGTATATAGTGATCAGAGTGTCCGTCAGTCTGCTACGCTTTTGCGGGTACATTTCTTTTATGTTTTGCCTTTGGAAAACCAAAATATGTTTCCGATCAAAAAGTAAAATAAAAAGTTGTACAAAGTTATTAGGATTCTGTGAAAGTTTCATTGAATTTCACGAAGTTGTATGAGAGGAGTTGCAGGTAAGAGATGAGTACCCCATAGCGTGACAGACAGACATAAGTACAGGAATGATCTACCCATTACTATATACCCTTTTGATTTTCAAGCGGGGATATGCATAAAAAAACACGGATTTTCAGGAATGGATTGTAGCCTTCCAATTTATACCAGTAAAAAAGTCATATTCACATCGATTCTTAATTTATTTTAATCCGAAGATTCCAACGTGTCATATCGATGAGATTGACTACAAAAAACAATGAAATAACAATATAATGCATGCGTACTATACATGAGTTATTTTTCCTGAATTATACTTAAATATCTTTACTATAATTCCTATAATTCCTGTATTATAAATTCTGAAGTTCTATAAGTCTTGAAAGATAAAAATATACAAAATAGCAAGATCGAGAATTACTTTCGTTATGTACTGTACATTGTGAACACATGGGTATGTTTACACTTCAATATTCAAAGTTATGCAAAATAAAGTAAAAATACTTATGCAAAATATACTCAAGACATTTTTAAATTAAATATATACATACCAAATTTGTTAGACACTGGTATACTAGTCGTATAGAGTAACAAACAATAGGCTACAAAAAATCGTGCCTTCCATGATTCGATTTCCGAGATGTACAAAGAAAAACCGTTGCAAGGTAAACCGTAAAATTCCGGATTGGCCGTTACATAGATTATTTAAATGAAGACAAAATGCAAGAATCGTAATGCAGAATAACAAATCACATACATTTAAAAAAAATTCAAAATGCACTTCACGTCCCTTTTCTGTATTAACCTTTTAAAATAAGCTACGTATTGAGAGGATTTTGCAGTTCTATTATTAAGATACGAAAAATGATGTTATTTGTGACCTGGCACCGTCACTATAGACTGTCCCCCTTTTTTACAGATTAAGGATTCCCATTCCCGAATTAACATCTAAGGCGAGATCGTGTGTCTGACTAGATAAGTTTTTTTAAAGTGGTTTTAATATAAAGTTCTCTTAAAATATACCTAAGAGATGACATCTATTACGTGACTATAGAACTTTACTTAGACAAAAACTGACAAAGCATAGACAATTATTTATAAGGTATATCTCCAGGAAACAAAACAAATACAGTTTTATTTATAATCCATGAGTTCAACTGGCATTTTATGGCATCATGGTGGTCTAGAATAAATATGAATATCTTAAGTACCGTCCAGTCACACATTTGATATTAAACTGAAATTTATATCCAGCATTTAATTCATGATTTAATTTGATAATGAATTAAACACAAATGTCACCATTCCTATTCTCAGTCAATAAAACAGCCTTTGTGACACTAGTAGAAAACAAATCTTTTCTCAGACTGTCATACTGAATGCTCTGAATTTCGGTGGTCCCTGAATATCTCACTACTCGACTCTGTGCCCTATCCATAGACCGCATGCTTACAAGTGGATTTCCGTTTGCTGAATAACAAATACCAACATGAAACCAGTCAACTGTGCTCAATAATACATTCACCTTAATCTTATTATAAATATAAATGTCTGTATTCGTTTGACGAGCATTACTTAAACAAAAGACTGGTTCATGTTGTGAATTAGTTGTCAATGCCAGCACATTTTCATTTGTATGAATTGTTTTTAAACTGGACCCAGTCATGTCAATCTGGTTGATTGTTTTGTCATTTCCACTGGTCAAGATCATGTCCCTTCCGACACACTGCACTTTCCAGAGTTCTGGAAAACGACCAAACATCTGAAAATATATATTAGGGTGTCCATAAGGACTTTGTAGTGTGCTTAGTACCACAGGTTCATCCAACATTTTCAGTTTCCCAGTTTTTTTATCGGAGTCTTCCCCAGTCTGCAGAAAACCGAACTTTGAACAATTTAGTCTTTTATAATAATACCAGGAAGTAAATTAGTACAAGAAAAACTTAATAATTCTGGGCCTTTTTGGAAATCCGCATTCCTTGACTGATAGTTAAGTATGACCGTGGCATCGTTACCATTAAATATATCTTTGTTTCTTTGAATAATTTGTTTGACTTCTTTTTCAGCTTTTTCTGCAAAAGATTTGTTTTCTTTGCATTTTTTCTCAGCCTCTGTTTTTTGTTTTGTTACTTCATCTGTGAGTTGAATGCTTACTTCACGCACGGACTTCCAGATTTTATCTTCTTGTTCTTTTATGGTTGTCAGAACTTTATCGAAATTTGTAGTGTTTGAAGATGAGTTGATATTTTTGTACTTTGGAAGAATGGTATTTTCCAGTTCTTTTGTATGAGCATCAATTTCAAGTCTTTGCTTTTGAAGAATATCATTGATGTCAATAATCCCATGCTTTTTATGTGATCCAATCAAGCACTGAATACAGATGTGTATTTCACAGTCTTGACAGTATGTCTCGCATTGATTTTTCTCGTGTGTTAGACATGATGGAAGAATAACAGCATGTTTCTTTTTAAGAGTATATTCTACAACTTCATGTCTTCTTGATTTGTCAGCCATGTGTTTTGGTATACATGAGAGGCGCAGATCCACGTGACAAAGATTGCAGTAATGTTCTACAGGGTTTGAGCAGAACTGACAGCGAATTACGTCTTTGGGCGTTAAATAAAATACGTAGCGATAAATAAATATAGAAGAAAGATTCACTAAAAACCTTCTTTGAATTCATTTGACTTATCACAGATATTAATTTGATGAATAAATTATCATACATGCATATTGCTGAGACGATTTTTACACAAACAATTATTAAGCGGCAATATAATATGAAATTACTTTACCTTCCTATTTCATTATATTTTGTCATTCTTAAGATCTTTTTTTTGGCTCAGACATGTAAGGTCTTTCTAAATCATATTTAACAAAAATATATGATAAAATCAATAAGGTTTACAAGATTACATTAAACATAACACATTAGAATTTGAGTGGAAGGTTAGAAGTTTCGATCATGCACATTTCCCTAGTTAATTGTTGACGTCTGTTGGTGACGCGTGTTTCAAAAATTCCAAAATTCAAAGCAGCATAACTTCACTTTTCATTAGTTTCTAGATTTTCTTCTTACATGAGAAACACATGAAGATATTCAATTACATTATTTCCAATTACCAATTTAAGTAAACGGTGTTATATAAACACCACGATTATTTACACTTCTAAAGTCTGGCATTTAAAATATTCAGTATTTAATTGTTCAAGTTTTTCAACACTTCAGACTCAATAAATTGAGAACCTTCAGATTTCTTTTCAAACAGCAGTACCTTTAAATTGATGATAAAAATTGAAGTGCTTGAGTCATTAATATTCTCATTTCTAAAATAGAGTGTACAGTAAAAACTTAAATGAAAGCTGAATATAGGATTAATCATAAGAACTCTTGGTATATTAATCATGTTAATATTTATAATCATTTTTTTTCTAATGTTTTTAAATGGTAAATGAGATTCAATCTATTAGAGATTAATCTGTCATAGTTCAAGGAAGGTTATCACTGACTATATGCTGTACTTTTTCTTGTATAATAAATAACCAGACCCTGATGATTGCATAGTTTTTAACATTTCTAATATCACCAATGAAATGATACAGCCGTGGGTTAAAAAATGATATGACCACTTGTCATTTGAGAGGTGATTTTGTAGTAATTAAGTAAATGACTTTATTTTCTTTTTTGCTCTCAGATTTATAACAAAGAAACGCCACAATGAAGTTTATTTCCAGGGAAATTTGACATGAATGAAGACAGGAAATAAATGGATAATAAAATATACTAGCTTATTTTTTTTTTCATTCAAAAGTTACAGGAGTGTCCAAGGTCAACTTCAAGTCACAGTTTTAACAGCAAATGAAATTGATGTTCACTCACATTCACAAATATATGGAATCGTAGGTAATTATGTCCAAGGAGGGCCTGTGTAAACCATCAGTGTGCATGATATAAAACCAGTTAACAATGTGATAGTGTAATTTTAGAAATTCCTAAAATCGTGTTTCTGGTTTTAATTGCAACCTCCTCTTAATTATTGGGTCTCAACCAATCGTTGGTGTATTATTCTCTTCCGTTTAAGAAAAAAATAGAACTGGTACATAATAACTAAGTAAACATTAAGGCCTTTTGACTTCCTGATATTAAGTCATATAATCATCAACTGACATTACTAATATTGACATTTTGAAAATTCTACTTTTTATCCATTGTAAGTTGCATCAATCTAGTTCTTGCGTTACATTTCTGGGGAGAATTGTGAATAGAATGGAATTAAATGAAAGAATCCATTTACTTCTGAACTCCAACTATTTACATTTTTTTTAATTATTCTCTTATAACGATTTTAATGTGTTAAATAGCACTTTGTATCAAGTTGTTTGACATGCATTTTCATTTTAATGAATATTTTGCCTCAGTATATCGAGATTTACGAATGGAATTATTGATTACAATGCCAATGTACGATATAATCAATGACTTTTTACTACAGTTATATTCAAACACTTTTTGTTTTACTAAAACAGAAAGAATCATACTCACTTTTTGCCAATTTCCAATAACAATCAACAAATTGTACACTTTCAATCAGACAAATAAAACTTCCTTCGCCAGTAAACAGTCAGGTATCTAATGTATTGTCACGTGATCAAAATTTACAAACTGTTAAACTAGGTCATTGATTCATTCCATACACCAAGTAAAGAACTGAAAAATACACATTTCAACAGATATTATGAGTTTAAAGATAGAAAAAACCCTGATTTAAGACCTGTTATCGCAAGAACAAATGATAAACATAGAAAATAACATATTGTGATTCTTGAGTTTGAAAAAATTCGGGGTACATATTATATACAACATATTTTCGTATTATATTTTTAAAAACTGTTTAAAAAATTATTTTTCTCACATCTGATTTGAAAACCACATGTTTTAACAATAAAAATTCATGGACATTTTTTTTATATCTCCTTAAAAAATTATAAATGCCATGCATATGGATTTAAGGTATCCGATCCATATTAGCCTCAGATTCAATGGAATTGAATGCATAATAGATATGTATGGGCTGAATAATCAGTGTAGTTAGAACAAATTTTCATCTTTAAGTATAAGAATGTAAAAGTTGAACATGTCCTAATTTATTACCTTTTCCTGCCCTTCACGAGTTATCTCCCTTTGATTTTACTCAATAAAAATTAATTCTAAAAAAAAATTGTCTGGTAAAAACATTATTTTAAATTATTTTTCTATTCCCAATGATCAAATACATCTTTTCACCACAGCATTTTGTGATATTTGAAGTATTTATTTTTTTATCTTAGAAAATTTACTTTCTTCCATAGACTTCAATGCAATCTTCAATAATTAATTTCTACTTAGGTAATAATTTTTTTTAAAAATTTCTCTTGGTAAATCCCTTTCTACTCTAAAATACTTTAAAATAATATCAGGATATTTTACAAAGAATTGATATTTAAGGTTAGAAATTTTGGTCCTAATATGGGTCGGATACCTTAAAATGATTTTCCATGTCAATCATCTTCAAGGAAGGTACATGTATCACTGCAAGCTAAAGTTATCCGTAATTTTTACCTATATTATATAAATATATTCATAATATTTCAATAAGTCTTTAAAACCAAGTATTTGAATTCATAAATGAAATATTTATTAGGAAGAGTTAAATGTTACCCATCACTTTGGATTACACAAACACACACACCCTCATCTTCACACACCCTCACACACATCCTCTCACACACAAATGGTTAGCATTAATCTATAAAATCAATGAAATAAAGCACAGAAGAAAAAAATCAAAAAGAAAAAAATAATCTTCTCACAGCAACAAAAGGGTTCATTTGTTTGTAGGGAACCATAAATGACTGAGTTTATCTTGGTGAGACAGTGTACGGTATGATACTTTAAACATGTTGTCCAGAGCATAAATTCTTTCTATAAATGAGCTCTATTACATTGTACACGTGATTTTTTTTAACCTATATAATACTCCATTAAGTTTTGTCATTAAAAATATTCCAAAGTTACCTGAAAAATCAGAAAGATCTTAAGGAACTAAAGCGGTGAGAAACGAATTTTTATACCGTGTTTGTATGCTTAATGTTAATGATGAACGTATAGAGCCTGGTTACATTTTTTTCTACAGGTACATGTATACACATGTTTTAAAGAAAATTCTAGCTGTTTTATATAGAATCCTTAAGTTGAAAGTTGGTGCATATATATTATACGGTTTCTGAGTATTATAATTTACTACATGAGTAAACAATAATTCCTTTTTACTAATGATATCAAAAATATGCAATAGAAACTTCAAATATCCCATGTCGCCTCAAGTCGAAAACATTTATCTGTTAAGGTATTAGTTCACAAAAATTATTCGAAAAAAAATGTTTATCCCTGCCAAAAAATGTATGACAAAAATACTTATTATATGAGTAAAATCTTTATGACTTAAAAACACAGTTGAATATAGTTATATATGTTCAAAGCTGTGAAAAATAGGTTGCCATGAATTCCAGAATAGAAGTATAAGGATACGCACTAATATTTAATATGTATATAACCTAAATCAACAAAGACCGTCGTGATTACGACTTATGTTTGAAAAAAAATAAAAGCCTTTAAATGCATGTAGTATTTTAATTTATAGAATGGGTGTATTAACTTGATCAAACCTTTACTTTTGACCCATAACCGAGGGTGAAAGAACTAAATTGTAATGCAAAAGATGTATGTATTTGGATTGACTTTTGGTAGAAAAAACTTCAGGATTAGATATATGGCACTTGTGATAAACATAATGGACTAATGTGAATAAGTATTTGACTGATTGGAATAAAGTTAAAAGATAACGTTCATGAAATATTTCTAAGTGATGTTGTTATTCCAGAATATATTTAAGCATTGAATTCTTTTTTGGGTAACGCGCGGTATACAATTTGTCGGCACGGCCAGGTGTGTTATAGGAGCGAAGACATCCTAAAATATTAAATAACGCAACGCAAACGAACTTATTGAGGAAAAAAAGTGACAAAATAATTTCAAACGCACATGTTTTCGTGAATTTAACGCGGTTAATTTTTTCTTATAAAATTGTGTCGAAACAATCTACATTTTGGTGCTCTAGAGTATTCAAAATGCATATAGTTCCTACTGTGTATTCTAACACTCAGTTACAAGGTTTCTCTTGTGTTATAGAGATTTGAATGTCGTGGATTTCTAATGGATTTCATAAAGAACATTACACTGAATGTAAAATATTCAAGGTTAAACGGCATTCATTTTTTTCCTTTAAATTTGTGCGTATTGTGTTAGAGATTCATATGTAGCACTTTTAATGAAAGGGGAAATTAAATGGGAAAGGTATTATAGAAATTATGGGCCTATGCAATGCAAATCGCTTATAAATTTTCTTTTTTAAATTGAAACAAAATTATAGCCTGGTTATTTTCGTTCCTCTCCTTGAACTTGGAGAACATGCCGT